ATTTGGGAATTACTTGTAACTGTCCACTTATAAATCCACGATGAGGAGCAGTTGAGTCTAGTCTGTAGATTGCAGGTCTCTCTGTGGATCTTACCCCGCTGGAAATTATACGTGAAGTGTGATTACATTCCAAGTAGGATGAGTTGCTGATATTGTAAAACCTTCTAGTTCACTAGGTTCATATAAATATATGACAGTCACATTAGCTAGTACATTTTGTTTTGATAAAGTGACTGGTATACGGTTTTGTTTGTAATTGCATTGATATGTTTTATTGAACTTCCAAGAGTAATTTCATTGCGTAACGCAGCTATCACATTTGGTATTCTTGCAACCTATTCACGAGATTTCATGTCTTTCTGAACTTTGTTGAAGGATATTTCCTGAACATTTTAATATCCAAACAATCGATCAGCAGATGTTCGATTGCATCGCTCAACGAATGCCTGATCACGATGAATTGCGGAGAGCGCCTTGTCTGATTTTGAGGTTACAGTGTTTAATCATCGACGTTACTGTACCAGGAAACTCTTTTCCAAGATCCGTAACAACTGTAGACATCGCAAGGGTCCTCATTGATAAATTCGTTCAAAGGCAGATACAACTCCAGTTCAGTCTTTGTTGATATTGGTTCTGATTTTTTATATATATATTCTCAATGTCAACGACAGTCAACACGTATTTGCATGTACGCCACTGACATCTACCAGTTTAATTGCATGATGCGGTAAAAACAAAATATCTGCCTGATGGACTTCATTGGGAGTGATGATATTAAAATGTTCCTACTGAATTATTGTATGTGCTGGTAGGTAAATTAGCCATATTGCAAGTGGTACTAACCAATCTGCAGAAGAAAAAAACGGTCGACACCTGCTTAGTCAGAAAGTTTACTAATCGCTGTTCTACCCCTCCAATATCCTCTTGGGCTACAATAAATTGAGTCTGTTATTATAATAATAATAATCGGCCGACTAATTACCAGCCCCTAGCACTAATTTAATTTTCATTCAAGATCTTAGAAGCCAATTAGCAAGTGATTCTTTTGAGAGATTTATTTGTTGCAGACTTTAAAGTGCAAATCAACTTCACGTCTGCAATTCCGGTAGGTCGTTTTTGTAGAAATGGATTTAATACGTGACATCATAAACGTGGCATGCTTGATTAGACATATTTATTGGATTCTATCCAGGTCTTGGTTAATCTTTATCGTCAAGCTGGATATCAAATCGGGCTCTAGGACCACAATATTATATCTAGGGATGAAAGTAAGGGGGTTGTGATCACTATATACATCTACCGGAGAAGGAGCCGGGCTTATAAAAACTTCAAAATGTTGTATTGTTAAAATTTAAGCTACAATTAGTTTAGTGGTACCTGTCTCACAAACTGAGGATTTTTGTGAAAGAATTTAATTGGACACTGCTGAACTGGGAGCAACAAATTTTCGGAATTAGGAATTTTCGAAAGATATAGACCAGAAACTTTTACATTTGCAACAAGAAGAAAGAATGAACTTAAACAGTTATTACTCAAATATAAACACTTGTTTCTGTATATTCATACGAGGACAAACGAAATTTTTCATGATGTTGAAATTGTAGATTCGAAACCTGTACAGCAACCATTCAAGATGAACCCTCTCAAACAGGAATACTTGAAAAAGGAAATTCAGTATTTGCTGGAGAACGATTTCATAGAGCCCAGTAAAAGTGATATGAGTTCACTGTGCATACTTGTTCCGAAAAGGGATAAAAGTTTCCGTATGTGCACTGATTATAGGAAGGTGAACAGCGTGATAAAAACAGATTAATTTCCGGTACCAAGGATCGATGATTGCATTGATCAATTGGAAATGCCAAGTACATCACCAAATTTGACCTTCTAAAAGGATTTTGGCAAATTCCACTTACGGAAAGAGCGAAAGAAAGTTCGGCGTTTGTGACATCAGATGGTTTCTACCAGTATAAAGTATGGCGTTCGGGATGAAGGGTTCTCCAAGTACGTTTTAAGGTTTGAATAATATGATTACTTCCGGTCTAGATAATTGTGATGCTTATATTGATGATGTCATCATCTACAACAACACCTGGAAATGACATCTAGCCACAACTCAGAAAGTCTTTGAAAGACTCAATAATGCTAATTTGACAGTTTATCTAACAGTGAGTTTTGCCGTGCTTGTGTAACTTTCCAAGAACATATTATGGGACATGATCAAGTCAAACCTATTGATGCAAAGGTGAAGGCTGTCTCTGATTTTCCTGTGCCTTTCAGTAAAAAGCAATTAATGCGACTTTTGGGTATAGCTGGATACTATCGAAAGTTTTCTTCCAATTATTCCAGTATTGCTTAACCTCTGGCAAATTTGTTAAGTAAGAGGAATAAGTTTCTCTGGACCGTGAAATTTCAGGAAGATTTCGATAGGTTAAAAGCAATACTCAAAAGTGTGCCGGTTCTAACAGGTCCAAATTTCAATTAGTCTTTTAAAATGTGATGTTGGGGTTTGGGCAATATTAATTCAAGAATACAGTAATGGAATTAATCACCCTGTGTGCTATTCCTCTAAGAAATTAAATAAGCACATAATAATGTCTTGCACTAATAAAAATGGTACTGACAGCTGCCTCGATTGGCGATCAGCATTAAGAGGCTAGTGTTGGGACTGGTCGGCCTGGTGTGAAATCAATGTGATTGGGTGGAACATGATGCTACATGTCATCGACATGATTCCCTAGTGCTAGACAACGCTATAAACTGCTACACTACAGTAGCGATTTGTGACGATGTTTTATGAGACAATGCTAGTTATTTTTTATAAGCAAATCCTATGGCTCTATGGAAATGTTTTCAGTGTTTCAGTTACCGTGTTTGGGTATTAGTCATATGGATCAGGCAATCGGAACACATCTTTGCTTCCCCCATGTTCAGATTGGTTCTGGGAGATGACGGGTTCTAGTGAGGACTGGTCCTGTTTGAAATTTTGACATATTGAGAAAGGGACCTAGTACAGTATCAAGATTCACAAATCCCTGTGTTTTTCAAAACTGGTCATTTCTCTTCAAGCATTATTGAACTGTGGACTTCTCGCAAGATTTACTAACCTCCAAAATTGAAGAACACAACGTTAAAAAAACTCCGAAACTGATGATTTGACAAATGAAGTGCTCTAATAATCATGGGCAATTTTGCGCTCTGGAAAGTTACGTTGACACATTTTTTTTAAAGAAAAAATTTGCTTGTTTTAAATTACAATCAAGAAATATATTATACTGACCTGTGCAAGTTATGAAAATACGAAAGTAATGTTGATACGGGTTTGGAATTAAATCTGTTACACTTAACATTCAGTCTTGTCCGCATAACCCAGTATTTTGTCGGCGCAGGGATATTATCTAAATTTGGAAAATAATGGCATAGGTGGGCCCTATAGGTTCGGTTACAGAATTTACAGCTCGACATTACTTGAGATGCGCATCTCTTAAAAAACATTGCTAGCTCCGTTTGGTCATTTTCACTTCATGGACTTCAGAGGTAAATTGTAAAAAATATAACAACCGACAACTGTTTTAAAAATATTCTACATATTTGTTAATTCATTCATGAAAATAACATAGAGGCATGTTGAAAATGTAAACAACTCACCTTACATCCACCACTCTTTCGGAAGTTCATAATATATGCAGTTATTATTTTTACTATTCTTATTATTATTATTTATTTTTTTTATTAATTTAACTTTTTCAGTATGGCTGAAACATTTAAGATGCAAGCATAAAAAGTCCTTTCGAATAATTATCCTTTTTTTTCCCCCTACGACCACCAAGAAATAGTATTTATTAGTGTCGGAGTCCCAAACTAGCACGACCACACACCCCATATGATGAAAAGAATTTTGGTTTAAAAATGTACATTACATTTTGACAATATTGCAGCCAGTGTTATACTGAAAGACAGGATCATAAAATTTGCCATAATTGTTCTTCATACGTCACCCATAAATTTTATAGTTTGGAAAGAACCGAAACAGATGAGATTCAAATATTTTCTTATTGTTTAATATTGTAATAAAATTAATGAGATGCGCATTTAGTTTAAGCAATTTATAGGTTTGTGTGATTAATTACATGTTTGATTATTGGAATTCGTTGCAGTGGGAAATATTCCTTAGCACGAAATAATTAGTCAATTATTAGGAGCAAACGTCATGGAGAGAACGTGTTATTGAAATCTAAGATGCCATGGTCAATGAGTACCGAATACAGACCCAATCCACATGATTGTCCCTTTAGTGATGTAGCAAAATCTAGTAGTGTACATCGGTGTTGTGACTTCAGCGGCAGTATTTATGGTAGTAAACCTATAAATTACACAATGGGATAAATGATAAAGGACTCGGTAGATACCGATTATGTTGCCATAGCGGCAAATGTGATGTAGGTTTACTGGTGTGATGTGCCTTGAAACGGTAGTTTGACTGGCCTCAGGAAAGCAGTTAAAATAGTCCCCCGTGTTATGAATAGTTGTACAGTTTCTACGGTGTGAATTACTAGCGGAACGGAAAATTAATATAGAGAAACTGTGGGGATGTTCTTTGGATGGCTAAATTGCAAGTTTTAAATAATGTATTCTTGTATTGATTATTTGAAAATTTATGTACAGAATGGACACGTCTGGATTTCCAACTTACAACTCAAGTTTTATAGAAGTCTTTGAAAATATGGGGTAAACCTATGACTTCTAGTGGGATTCGAGCTCAGGGCTTTGACACCGCTCGGTCAAGCAAAAGACCACTGGCTTGTAACAATATGGAAGAGAACCAATTTGTTTTGTATCATTTATTTCATAATTTCAATGCACAAAATTAAAAGGAAACATTTTCACTATATATTGTTTTCAATCAACAGTTTTAAATTTAAGTTGACTTCACTGTTGTATCCTAAGACTTCTAATTCAACCGTAATTAAAGTTATTATACACACAATACTACCTCAAGGCAAGACTGCTCCGCTGGCCTAGTGGTTAGAGCGCTCGCCTCGTATGCGGGAGGTCACGGTTTCAATTCTGGCCAAGTCACACCAAAGACTTTAAAAAAATTATACTAACAGCTGCCTCGTTTGGCGCTCAGCATTAAGAGGCTACTGTTAGGACTGGTTGGTCTGGTGTCAGGATAATGTGACTGTGTTGTAGCAATATAATTGAAAAGTTATTAAAGCTACGTTAAAAATTAGAATCACACACAAGCACACACACACATTCACCTCAAGGCAAATTGTGTAAGTAAGAGCAAAATAATAATAATTAGCTTTTTTCATGCATAGAAATCAATATCAGAATACCATTTTGTTCAGAACATCAACCATAATGATATGACAATAAGAAAATAATTGCAAAAACTTTCATATTTGTTTTAAGGTGGCGCTCCATAGTTTCGTACTTTGCATTGAAGAAAAGAATTTCCATGGCTTTTCTTACTGGTTAAACTGGCTATTTAAACCAAAGACCTTATATATTTTAGGTATTGTTCAAAGAAAACCATATAACATCCTTTATTTTTGTGTACGATTGATGGGTGTAATATGGATTTGTGTATACAACTCGGTCTTTCTTCAAATGTGCACCTCTTAAAACTGCTAGCTCCACTTGGTAATTTTTACTACTTGTACTTAAGATGGAAATTTTAAAATCAAATAAGAGCCAAAAATATTTTTAAACAATATTTTATATATTTAATAATTAATTAATTGTACTTTCAGAAGCTGATATTCTCTAGTCTGGCAAAATTAGTTTTCCTTATTTAATAACCGTTAATGATATTGTATTTTAGACTAATTCAGGCTGATATATTAGTACAAGGAAGCAGCAATTTTATTTAGCTATTTTCTTAGATCATATACAATTTCCACAAGTACAAAATCCACAGAAATTTAAGACACAGTAGTAGCATAAATAGCTGATGATCATTTTTATAGAGACCCCTACCCCCATAACGTTATACGTTAACATTTGTGTCATCAGCTTTGTTCTAGCTCAAAATGATGACTTTCATATTTTTCACAAAATATGTTTTATCGGAGTGAGGAGGGTTCTCTAAGATTGAATCAATTCAACTATCGATACTACTTTACAGTCTCTTATAATTATTATCCAAAATAATATTGGGTTTTTTAGACAAAATGTCATATCAAACAAGTGAAATATTACATATGACAATTCCAACCTGACATCTTGGATTTCATCTAACTAACAGATTTTGTAAGAGATTTAATTCCATCAAATCAGCGTCAGGTTATACTGGAATAAAACCTAAAATAGTAAGCGATTGCATTAAAAAAGTAGGTTACCATATATCAGCAAAATATGGATTGGCATGGTTATTTGCAACCGAAAATGATATGAGAATAGCGGGTTGGGCAGATGATGTGACGACATTTATTGATAATATGGTAGATATTTTATGTGATAACTATATTACTAAACTAAACGACAAAAATAAACAGCAGGATGACATTTGGTCTACCAGTCCACGAGCTATGTTAGATAAACCTAATGATATTCCAAGAGTCTCTTTTAGACATACCCCCAAGGCGAAATTTCTAAATATACAAGACGAACCTTCAGAAACTAAGAGGGCAGTCTATTTTAGATGTAAGCCTTTTTGTGGCAAGCGAGACTCTTCATTCTTGTTACGACATTACCCCCATAGAACTCCTAAATATCCGAAACTGAAACTTTAGAAATTTAGAGGGCTGTTTATTTAAAGGCCTTTGTTGTGACCATGAATCTAATGAGCTTTATTTTACTTTAGCGATATTTCTTTTGGAATGGCTCTTGGTTAGGGCACCTCTTTAGTAAAATCACAAGGTCACGACCTCACATCATCCCGCTGTTTAGTTTTGGACGGCAGAACACACACACACACACACACACACACACACACAGAGAGAGAGAGAGAGAGGGCACAAACACACAACTTAAACTTATCCTAACTTTCCTGACTGATTTGTTTATCTTGATTAAAATACAGTGAAAAGCAGAAATTTGAGAAAAAAGGACTAAAATCTAACTGATTATAAGTTTTACAGCATAAATTACAAACCAAATTTGTACAGTGCAAAATCTAAATCACATATGCTATCTTAGAAAACTTACAAAAGATTTTAAACTAAAATGGACAATATATTTTTCTTTTTCAAAAAGTTATAATTCTTGACCAACACGCAATATTTCGACGTTTGCTAATAAGAAAAATCTGCTGTCGTAATTATATACATTACATTTAATTATACCATATACATTTCGATGAAACTCAAACCGTTCTTTTATTGCTATTTTACTGAGAAGATACTACCTTTTGCAAATGTCTTTGACCTGTCCAGGTCTATGGTGATTTTTGTATACTAATTTTGGCTTATTGGATTATGTAACTTGTTATATTTTAGTGCAAGTGTATCTCATAAACTTTCGAAATAACGCAAATATTTGCTATCAACAGATTTGATAAGAAAGATTTTGATTCTGTCAAATTTACTAAAACAAATACATTTTGTCGTTAAATTCAAATGATAATTGCTGTTTTTAAAACATTATTTTTATTTTGTTATTAACTCCATCAACTAATGTTGAATTTTTAAACATTATTTCTGATTTGTAGCAACAATCATTTGCACAATGTGCTAGTGCGAGCGTATTAATCCATCACTGCAATATTTTCATCATCAAAATTGCTTAGTCAACGTTTTATAATTGTATTTCTTTCGAGTTTCTGATAATTTGTTCTTATGACATTAGTTTTGATAAACTGACGCTATTGTTTAGCGCTGCAATGAATACGTCAAAACTCATTATCTTTTTCACATATTCACGAGAAATACCTTTAGTTTTTTGTTAATGTATTGTCATCTAATATGACAGCTTAAAATTTGTTTCTTAGTCCAACAAACTCTCTTACCGGCACAATATAATTTCGTCCTTAAATTTTCCAATAACTTTCTTGTTCGATTTATCTTCATATCCTCTACATCAAATAGATCTATATTATTGTAAATGTCCTGATAAAAATTTTCACATATAAATTATAAACTAGTGAGTCCATATCAGCAAATAGCAACTCAGATTCTGCCCTTTGATTTTTGGTAAAACTATAGTTAAAATCGTACATCAGGCACTTTCATATATCAAGTACAAGTGCACCAACATAAATCGGTTTATTTAACTTTAAATTTATCTTTCTTCGTTGTATTTCAGCAAGATTTTCATTAAATATTTTCATATTAATAAAACCATCATCATTAACTAATTTTTTTGCGAATGATGTAATTAATAATTTTTATCGAAACTATTTTCGAATATTTTCTATCATCTTGCCGAACACTAAGTTGTTCAATAATTTGAAAATGTTTTTCTCAGATTCAGTTTTAACCACAGCACGTCGTTTCGTATTTAAGTCAATATCATTTGCCATCAAACTCGACTGATTAAACTTTAACACACGATGGACTTTTTCTCAGAAATAATCCAGCATCTACTGCTTGCTTTGCTTTAATTTTTTTTAATGCATAATGTAAATTCGTTTATCTAACAAATTTGGAACTAACTTAATAACGATGAAATTTTTGCTGTTGTCGTTGCTTGTTGCTCTGGTGATAATAAACTATAATCAATCATCATTGACTCTGCCCAAAACGGATAATCGTTATGTAGATCGTGAAGCGAACTAAGATAATCTAGATCAACTTAAAAAAATATTAAATATCTGAAAAATCTATATAAATTTTTCTGGGTAAATCTTTTTTAGTTTCTTTAAGAAATTTATATGGAGTAATGTAATGAAACCCATCGCAAGGCATTGGCTGTGACAATCTCCCTCCCGTAAAGATTTACAAAATCTAGATAAATAATGTAACTCGACGGGAGATTTTTATCATGATTTTTCAGCTATTTGTTATTAGCTACTGCATATTTTTTGTTCTAACGCTAATTCCGCCTCTGATACCATTTTCAATAAAGTTAAACATACTGACATCTATTAAAAGCTCTAGTTCTATCTTACTAGTTTTTAGTAGAGCGTCCCAAGAAAGCCCTAGAGCAGAATAATACCAACGGGGGTCTCAGCCATAATTTGCATGACTAACGTATTCCCACCGTAGTTGTTAATAATATAGTTACTTTTACCTATCAAGGTAAAATACAAAATACAAATACAAAATTCCGGTAAGTCAGTTAACGATTATATTAAGAAAGCTGGCGATTCATTTACTTGTGTCATTATTATGTCAGGGAAAAAATTACATACCATGGAAACCGAACCGCAGAATAAGATGCAGCAATAAAAAATACGTTATCAAGAATCTTAGTACTTATTAGTGCGCGGTGGTAGTATGCGCCCGTTTCTCAATATGAACAATAATGTTATTAATGATCTCAGAAGACCGGAAATAGATTCGACGCTGCAAGTGAAAAATATGTCGACGATAAGGAAATTTCAATCATAACTTTGTTAACAGCAATCATTGATGGAATTACCGCATTTAGAACTGATTATAATAATCATATACAAACGTTTCTAACTTTTGTATAAATTTAAATAGATCTGTTAATGAATTTTTTGGAACTCCAGCAACTGTTGATATTAAACTAGCTGATATTAACGCAAAACTCACCGATATTGTCAGTGGCACTTCTAATATCGTTCAAAAAATCGATCTGATTAAAAGTCTTCACGGACTAGCTAACAATATTGTATACACAGTATCATCAAAATCAGCAACATGGACATGACAAAATAACAATTACTAATGTGTATAGGTTGTACGTATTTAGCGATAAAACATTTATTATATTTACTACATTTTCATGGTGTCATTCAAAAGACAGATTTGCTGGAGTTGTATCTATAGTGTTAAAAAAAAAATTTCGAATAATAATTTATACTGGAACAATCTAATAAATGCTTAACCATATCCACTTACTGGTGGTGTCTGGAATTTTTAGTTGAAACTACTGAATTAATTACTGACACTACTGTATAAAATATGTAAACAAATATTATATAATGAAAATATAGAGCTGATTTT